TCATATTGCTTCGTCTTCTGGATTAAAATCGCTGCCCTGCTCTTTATTTTTCCGTTGCCGTGGTGAATGGTGGTATCGGAGCTCGATTGGTGATGGCTTTCTTTCTCCACTCGTGCTGATCTCAGGGTGAAAATAATCAGAGCTGACTTTGTGGAAGTGGAAACTGAGTCATCTGGAGCTAAAGCTGCTTCCTGGAACAGGAACCATCACATGAATACTGCACTGATTTTTAATATGTAAGATTTCAGAGATCAGCACTTCAGTGTTTACAGATTCAGCTGGATGCATGGATGAATGCGTAATGTGATTTTGGTCCAGTCTGTGTCAAACATAAAGCAAAAACACCTTAAAATCGTTTAAAATGATCATTTTTCCTCCAGTGTGGAAAACAGCACAGTGCACAGGCTGGAGTCCAGAAAGTCCACAGCTTTGTGTGACATTTGGCACCACGTGTGAGTTTTAGAAGACGTAATCCAGCATGACGTGCGTGTGCCGATCGCTGGGAGCGCGGCGCCAAAACGTCGGAGTCCACTGTGGCTTCAGCGCCACGTCTCCGTCCACGTCTTCGCTCCACCAGCTGCCGAGTAACCAGAACAGACACTTGGCTGCTAAGTAGAGCGCTCCAGCGCCGAGAAGAAGCTTCAGGAAGCCAAAGTCCTCGCCGCCATCCCGCTTCTTTGGTTTTCCACTGAAAGCTGAAGACAGAAATTCAGAAAGTCTTTAAAATGGAATCTGGCTCGCGGTGCTAGCAGCTCTGAACAATCACGTCTAAATATGAGAGTTTCATTTCTAGCTTCATGTCCAGAACTTTTACAGGAGCCAATTCTTCAGCAGACCCTACAGGTGATATAAGAAGCTAAAGTAAGAGCACAGATATGACACCAGCTCATTGTCTGTAGGGAAACATGACACACATGGTTTGATTTTAAATAAATAGCAGAGGTTAAAGGTCACATTACATCATAAAGTCCTGGCCTTTTAACAGGTGTGTACACGTTTTATACCCAGTTGCTGCTACAGCTCATGGTCATCTGAAGCAGTTAAGTGGAAAACGACTGGACGTCTTTTTTTAGATGTTTCACCTCATCACTGAGACTTCTGCACATCTGGATAAGACGTCCAGTTGCTTCCAACTCGAGTGCTTCTTGTGAAAGAAAACCAAAACAACAAATCATAAAAACAATGAAAATCTGGGGAAATAAAACCTCAAACGAAGCGCACATCTCAGCTTGAACTCGGGCGACCTGACCAAAGAAGCCAGTCAGACATATTCCACATTTTCTGCCATTAAAAACTTTTACATGTGAAGCTAAACTGAACCCTGACTGCAGGTTTACCTTCACGAGGCAGCTTCCAGTAACTGTACGCTGGTAGTTTCCTGTAGTTGGCTGCAGGCCCGCTCTGTGCTGATGTGTTGTAGCTGTAGTGCACGTGCTGCTCGTAGCTGCTGGGCTGCTGTGTGGATCCGCTGTAGTACTGCACCACGCTGCAGGTTTGCTGAGCTGATGGATCCGAGTAGGGGGTCTCTCCTATGCCCTGGAGCACATTTACGTAGTAGCCCATCTGGATGAGGAAGCTGGTGAGGTCCAGCTGGGGGTTCTGCAGGGCCTGGATCAGTTCACAGCTGATTTCAAAAGTCCTGTCAAATTTGAACCTCCCAAGGGCGGCTGGGTCGTGCTCAGTGATGTACACCGTCTCCACCACCCGGGTCCTCACCCGGTAACCAATGATGATGCGATCGATGTTGGAGTTGTTGCTTCTGACACCCGACCGATAATTTTCCCTCACGTACGCCGGCAGGTTTGCAGAAGCAGGATAAGTTTCTGTGCTCAGGTTGCCAACCTCAAAGTACGTAACCTGGAAAGAGAGTAAAGATGGAGGGCAGAGGCTGTTACAGGAGGAATAAAACAGCACTTTGCCCCTACAGTCTGAGTCCTACTCCCACCTGCACGCTCCCGCCTTTCCCCTTCTTCTCATTTCACTTATAATGACATGTTTGCCCATTCAGATTCCAGCTGAGAGCTTGAAACCTCAAACTGAAGTGTTTTCACTGAACCATAACCAGCTGGGCGGTTCCCCTAACAGGAAGCGGACTGATCTCTACCTGTGAAACTACCAAACAAACATGGCACACCTTACTCCTGCTCTTCCTGGGCCTGCTCAGAACAGGAAGGAGCTCCTCCATGTTTCCAAACAGGTGGAAGCCGAAGTTCCCGTTCTCCGGCTGACAGTCCGACACCAGCTGTGGAAACACATCAGGTGTTAGTCTGATTCACACACACACACACAGACACACACAGACCTCATCTTACCTTCATGGTGACCACCAGCTGGACGACCTCGCAGGTCACACACTGGTTGGAAAACCAAAAGAGCAGCTGGAGGCCGTGTCGTGGAAAAGGACGGCCAAACCCTGAATACATCAGGTTCTCCGGAGTGCAGAGCTGCCACTGAACCATGGTGGAGCTCAGCACGCAACACACTCACACACATGCAAGTATTCAGGAGCTCTGCTTTCACTGTGAGGAGGCACTGTGCTGTTTCTGGTAAAAATGCAAAAACTGCACTTTGATGTATTGTTTAAATTCCATGTGTGCATCAGTGCTGAGCCAGTGTGCAGCTGTTATTATGTAGAGAGCCGCTCGCACAGTTATAAGTGAAGAAATAACAAAATAATCAGAGTTAGTGATAAAAAATGCATTTCAGTAAAATATTTCAGTAAGTATGTGGCAATATTACAGCTCTGCTGTGGGATAAAACACACACACAACAGCATCTCATTTTTGCACATTTACAATTTTACTTTTTCACTCAGAAATACACGCACGTGTAAAACTGCAGATACAGTACTGTGCAAAAGTCATGAGTCACTCATTTCTTTATATTTTGCTGAGAAAATAGAAATATTTTATTATATTATATTTTAATAATATCATACTATTAATAATAATGTAATATAATATTATTATATATTAGTTAATTATTTAAAATAGACCATTTACTGCAAAGTGCACATAAATGGATGATTATTATTATACATAAAGCTAAAACAGAGTTTGTACAACTCTAATGAGACTGGAGGTGTTATTGCATGAAGGAGCAAACTCTGATTGTACGATTCTATTCTCATAATTCCAACAATTAAAAAAAAATTAAAATGCAGCCTTTCTATGAGCTCAACAAACATCAGCAAACACACAAACTGTTTGTCTCACGGTGTGTTGCAGCTAAAGCTCCAGCTGCTTATTTCACAGGGAGAGAGAAGAAAGAGAGCTAACATCACTCAGAGATGGAGAAAGATAAGAAAGAAGGAGAGGAAGAGGAGAGCTTAGAGGTAAAGGAAGGACGCTCATTTAAAGCTCACACGGAAGTCCTCGTGTTGTTAAATCTGTACATGTCACATTATGTTTGTTCATATAAACTGAGGCAGACTAAATGTTTCGCTTTTATATCCCTGGGAGAGCGCTTAGATCAGCAGGCCAAATGCTCCTGGTGCGACCTAGATCTCGGCTCAAGACCAGAGGTGACCACGCATTCGCCGCTGTTGGACCCTACCTCTGGAATAACCTCCCCCTAGCTATTCGGGCGTCTGATTCAATTCAATCTTTTAAATCTCGATTAAAAACTTATTTGTTTAGCCTTGCTTTCCCGCCTCCTAGAGCCCACATTTTTAGTGTACTGGAACTTATCTTTATCACTCTGTTAATGTTTATAATGTTTTAACCTTCAGCATTGTGTGTGGACTTCACTGGTGCCTACTATGCCTGGTGTATTATTGGTTAGTTATGTCACCCGCCTGTTAGTATATTTTATTTCTATGTTGTATTTTATATTTGTATTTATTATTGCTCTTAACTCATTCTGGGAAGCACTTTGGCATGTGCTATATAAATAAAATTGTATTGTATTTACTGGAGTAAAGAATTTGAATCAGTATTTGAACTTTTAGTACAAATGACACTAACACTAAACAACTAAACAAATGAAACAAATGAATGATCTGTCAGGCTGCTGGTAACAAAGTGCCTAAAGAAGCAACTTAAAATGTATTTTCTGCTGAGCTGGCTGTGATGAGGCAGAGTTGGGCGGCTTAACAAGCCAAGAATAAAAAAATCATTCCTCTGAAAATGCTCAGGCACAAGCACAAGTGCAAAAACAGCCCACTGTGGAGACCTGCTGCTCAGGACCACTTTAAAACATCACAACAAAGTCTGTCTCGCAGGGAATAATCTAAAGGAAAAAGGGGTGGCTCGGGACTTTCGCACAGCACTGTATAGTTGTAATATTAATAATGTAATCGTTCACATTATTCGCGTATTATGGCTTGTTTTCGATAAATGAAATCACTGAGTTCATTAAACATTTATTCCAACAACACAACACTGAGCTGGGCCATTATAATGCAGTTCCTTATTTCTAAAAAGAAGCTTTATGATCGTGGTCTAGTCCAATGAAGCTATTAAATAATGACTTTAAGCAAACGGCGAGCTGCAGTGCAGAGAAAATCGCTGCTGTAAAGTCTGATGTGCTGTTTTCTTCTTTATTTACCGTTTTTGTTGTTTTCTCGCTCTGTTTCCTCATTTTCAGGAGGCGCGCTACAGCCCGGAGCGCGAACGTCAAATGCGCGCTCGTTCACGTCGATCCGTAACGTGGGTCCTAGAGGACGTCCTCTGCTGGCGTCATTTGCGCGCCGCCTAGCTTCCCATGCACTCTCCTTCTCCCGAAAGCCTGCGGATAGATGTTTCGATTTCAGGTGAGTGTAGGTCTGTGGAAATAATCAGGTGTGTTTTCCCGAGGAAGAGTTCCGGTGAGTCCCGGAGAGCTCACGATGACCACAGAGCGCGCGCTGTACGTGCTCGGCGTTCACTATTGTTTATGCGGCTGAACTCGGTGCGGCCTGCGAGGCAGCCCGCTTTCCTGGTGCTGAACCGGGGACGGCGAGCCCTATCTCGGCCCGTGTGGGTTACAGTACTGTAAAGTAAACCAGCGTCCGCTGTGACAGTCCGGAGTGTCGCAGCGGCCCTGACTGTGTCGTATTCGGCCTCTGAGGGCAGCATTTAATCGACGCGAGTCATATGCGATATCACGTCAGCATTAGCATTGCGGCTAACTCTCTCTCTAACCTCTGCTAGCTGCAGGGTGCCAGAGTGCTGTGATAAGAAACGTTATTGTTCCCAGCAGGTAGTTTAAAAATGGAAGGCTACTAATGGCTTCTCTTGTCAGTACCGTAGTGTTCCTGTTTTGAGTTAATCTCTTCTGCGTTTCATGTTTTTCCCAGTGAAAGCAGGGTCATTGTCTCAGCTAGCTACTTCTAGCATTTGGCCAGTGGTCAATGCTACTCCTAGTATTTACTTACATGCTATAAATGCCAACTCAGGCTGAGGCGTTTCTTTTGCAGCTCAGTTTAGCACACTTTGACCACTCCAAGGCCCAGTGTCGGTTTGAATCAGACTTTCTGGCACCTTCTGGATGGGTTAAATAAAAGTAACTGTCATCACAGGTCCATGTGGCCCTGACAGCACACTGATGATCAGCCAGTTTATACAAGATAATAACGGTGCTGTAAGCTCCAGCGAGTCAGCATTTTATTCATAAAATGAACCGTCGTATAACAAATCTGTCAGTTGCTCGACAAGAATGAATTTACTGCTGCCTCTGAGGACATGCGCAGTGTTTGGTAGGCGTGATCCAGCTTTTTCCAGCTCCGTTTGGATCTAGATACCAACACTGCAGCTTAAGGTATCTGCTAGATATCCACTGATCTGATACCAGTGCTAAAGGAAGTTGTGTTTCTCACTGCGAGGAAGAGACTGGGCATCACTCTCTATGCTTAAGACATCTGGCTTAATTTTAAAATTATATCCTGACCTTTGTAAGGTGACATGGCCACCGTGATCACACCTATTGATTTTCAATCCTATTCGATTTTCAAGTGAAGATTTTCACCGTGGGCTGTCTGTCACAGGTCCTTAAACAGTAAGCTTGCCCCGAGTACTCCTCGTTCCTGACACCTGGAATGACCACGTTTAAAAAGTAAACTTAACATAACCTCCTCCCTCACACGGTCCCAAGCTACTACACTTCCAGCACAGTTCCTGAGCCTGGATAAAGTGGAGGGTTTCATCAGGAAGAGCACGTAGCACAAGACTGCAAAACAATATAAAGAAATATTGTCATCATTTACTTAGATTCAGAGTAAAGCGTGCAAGGCTGCTGCACCTGCATTGTTTGGTGCAATCGTTGCAGTTTCTGTGAATGTATTTTTGAGACCTGTGGGCCATCTTTGATACGTTTTTCTATATTGAGTGTAAACAAGCCTCTGCTGAGAAATTTGTGAAGCTCTTTCAGTTCCTGCGGTAAAGAGTAACGATGCACCCGGATCAATAACAAGATTTATTTGGCGGTATGGATGCTGCTGTTTACTTTCGGCTGCTCCATTAGTTGCCAAGACGAAGCACAGATTTACGCCGAATGTCCTTCCTGGCACAGCTCTCTCGTTTATCCCGGCTGAGGACGGACACGAGGAGACCCTGAGCAGACCCAGAACATGATGACAAATGAAGTCTTTTGGCTGCTTTGGGAGGATGTAGGTGTCCTCCAGAAGACTGGAGGAGGTTACAGTGGAGAGAGGAGTCTGGGAGTCTTTGTTTAGCTCCTGAGAACCCGTCTGGATAAGCATCGGAAAATTGATGAACATTTTTAAACGTCTTGATGCATCTCAATCATCCAGGAAAGTAAATCTCCAAAAAGTTGATTCGGTTCATCTGGACGTAGCGTTTTGTGGGAGAAACGTTTCGTCACTCATCCAGGTGACGTCTTCAGTCTCAGCTGACTGCAGGTTTCAGTCTTATAAACAGGACATTTGCATCATGACTGAAACCAGCCCACTGAAGGAACAATGGGCTGGGAGGTCAGGTCCTTAGTATTAATTATGCAAATTCTCATGACCATAGATCAACAACCACTGATCAAAGACCACTGATCAATGGCCATGAGTACCATTCACAGAGATGTCCTGTTTATACGATTGGGGAAACCTGCAGTCAGCTGAGACTGAAGACGTCACCTGGATGAGTGACGAACCGTTTCTCCCACAAAACGCTACGTCCAGATTAGAGCTGGGCGATAGAACGATAACGATATGTATCGCGATATAATATATCGTGATAGATATCGTTATCGCCTGAAATGAAAAAAACATATCGTGATATGAAAAAATCTCATATCGCCCAGCTCTAGTCCAGATGAACAGAATCAACTTTTTAACAGTGTCAGCTTGTGTTTAATGTCTCATCAGTTTTACAGCAGCTGAATCAGGATCATCCCTCATATGGAGGAATGGCCCTGAAGCAGCAGCAGGACATATTTTAAGCAATAATATTTATGTGTCACTAGTAAAACACGTCAGCTTTTTGAATTGATTGTCTCTGAGACTCACTGAACTGGTTGTGTGTCAGATCGGACACACCCAGAGGATGCTTTTGATTGCAGAGCTCTGAGAATGAATAAGATCGTGGATCTGATTTACTATAAATGTCTGATGGAGCCGTGTGTCGAGCAGGACCATCCACATGATTTAGAGGCCAAGAGGGTTTTTCTCATGCTGATGGAGAGAGGGCTTTGGATGACAAAATATCTGCAGCTGTAGAAATTATAATAATATTAATAAATTTTATTTATAGGCACCTTTAAGACCCTCCAGCTCACCTTACAATAGTACAATAACAGTAGCAATATTATAAAACATAGCAAAATACAAATTAAACATAAGGTTAAAAAAAGCATGAAAGTATAAAAGCTAAGCAAGATCAAACTACACTAAGACAGAGTCATGGTGAAGGCTTTGCAGCTCTGAGTGTTGAGACATTATTTTATAGAGTCACAGATTATTCTGACGTCCCGGTCGCAGCTGTTCGGTCACCTCGTCTTTCACATCTGTAGATCTTTTCATCCCTCTTGTCCTCCTTTATTTTAGTCCCTGGATGAAGACTGTATGCTGGAGGAGGAAGATGATGGATTGATAGAAGACGAAGATGAAATCGATCAATTCAACGATGACACTTTTGGAGCCGGGGCCATCGGTAAGAAAGAAACATCTTTTTTTTCCAGTCTGACTCTGTTGTCTAGACGAGGTGAGGTTGTACTGTGGATCTGTCCTGTCAGATCTCCTGGATGTTCGTATTAAACACGCCTGGCTAGTTTTTTCTTGCTCTCAGGCCTGTCGGACACGTCGTGCACTGAGGCCTCGTGTAAGAAACACTTTGTGAACAAATTGCTCAAAACAGTCTAACAATAACAAAATGGAGTAAACCAATGAGCAGCATCGGTTCTCACAATGACTGATAAAAGTTTCTTTGCTGTTGTGGAGCGTGCAGTGAAATGTTTGATCCATGAAACTGAGTTAGCTGTACGATAGCAGCATCAGCGCGTCAGGAACAGGGTCAGCTCCTTCACTTAGCTCGCAGCATTTCTCCGACTCTGCTCTGACAGGCTGATGACTGAGAGGGTGACTTATACCCTGATTATCTTTGAGTATCTGCAACAACATCTGCTTTTTATTAGCACAGAGGCCCAGCTGTTCTCACCTCCTTTCATTCAGTGAGAAAAGACTGAATGTGCTGCTGAAGCATTTAACCATGAACAAGTCATTGAACCAAGGATGACATGTAGGCCACAGTTTTACTGGAGTCTTCATTGCTACTGGAGAGAAACTCATAATTATTTTATATATTACTGGGGAGCTAAATCTGTAATTTATTGGTAGATTTGTATCACTAAGCTTTTAGAACATTTAGACGCTCAAATCGGTGGCTGCTGTCAGCCTGGTTCTTTATTATAAGGAGCGCGGTGCTGCTCGACTGCAGAGAAACCGTATTTTAGATCACACGAGCTCAGTTTCTGGATGACAGCGCTGCCGCTCGTTTACAGCCCTCTGATATTTTCCAAGAGGCCCCATAAACGAGGAGGTCACATGTACGTGCGACCTCTGAGGGTTTGAAGGCGCTCTGTGTGTTTATGAACACGGATTCTCATCCTCACGTCTCTGCTTTATTTTGTCGGATGGTTTGTGTCTTTGCATATTTGTCTGTGGTGACCTTTGACCTTTCACATGTGATTTGGGGCTGCGCAGATTTGATGTTCTTTGTTTGTTCCAGATGACGACTGGCAGGAGGAACACAAGCGCCTCGCCGAGCTCGATGAACGGGACGAGTTAGGGGCGGGGCTGGGGTTCGGCGGAGGGGGGATGGGAGGGGACTCAGACTTGAGCACAAGCGAGCGCCCGTCCTCCACCCGAATCCCTTCTTCTGTAGTCCATCCCCCTCCACCATCATCCCTCGCTTCCCTCAGCTTCTCCTCTTCCTCGTCTAGACTGCCGCCATCAGGTAGGTGATGTCATCAGACGCTGAAGCATCAAGTGGAGATCGGCATGTTTTAAAGTCTGTAATCTCTCACTTCAGATGTGGAGGATCGAGTGGGGGAGGGGGATTTGGCCGAGTCTCTGGCCAGGCTGATCCTGGACGCCGACCCGGCCATCGCTGGAGTCGGGGCAGCTGAGAGACCCGGTCTGCCCCCCGGCTCCTCAGGATCCGGCCTCTCCGCCCTGCGGGGGCTGGACCAGCCCAGAGTCCTGCCGCAGCCCTCCCCCATCCTGCCTCCCACCCAGCCACACCAGCATCCCCAGCACCAGCTGCCTCCTGGGCTCCCTGCGTCAGGTGAGAATGAGTCGACCGCTCGGTGGGCTTTATTTTTATAGATGTCACCAAGATTTTAATTGCGTGTGTGTGTGCGCACCCTGACTGTGGATCTGTTGTCACATGACTGTTGGTCACAGTTGATTCGTAGCGTCTGTCATTTGGTCTCTTTTATATGAGCTGGTTCGTGTGAGCAGCTTCATTTTGGGGAATTTAAATGTTGAATAAGTTGATGAAATGGGGTGGCTGTAGCTCAGGTGGCAGAGCAGGTCAGCCACTAACCTGAAGGTCGGTGGTTCGATCCCAGGCTGCCTCCTGGCTGCATGCCAAATATCCTTGGGCAAGATACTAACCCCGTGTTTGCCTACTGGTGGTGGTCAGAGGGCCCGGTGGCGCCAGTGTCCGGCAGCCTCGCCTCTGTCAGTGCGCCCCAGGGTGGCTGTGGCTACAATGTAGCTGCCATCACCAGTGTGTGAGTGTGTGTGTGAATGGGTGGATGACTGAATGTAGTGTGAAGCGCTTTGGGGTCCTTAGGGACTAGAAAAGCGCTATACAAATGCAGGCCATGAAATTTCATATTTTTAAAGATGCACTTGGTTGTTTTCTTTGATCGATCTGTTGTTCATCAAAGAGTCGTTGTAAGAAAGCTTGGCTTCTTAACCCACTGGCAGATTTTGGAGCCTAAAGGGTTGATGTTGAATTCGTGGCTGCGATGCTCAGAGCAGACCTACCTGCTGTTTGCTTTCTGCATGTCGGGAACTTGGGAGGTAAAACCAGGAGTCATTTTCTGCCTCATGAGAAACGCCGGTATCCGAAATTTGGAAAAGCCTTTCACACACTTGGAGCAAGAAAGTATTTGTCTTCCACAGCATGTCTTTATCCTGTCTTCCTTCTCTCACCCCAACCGGTCGCAGCAGATGGCCCCGCCCCTCCCCGAGCCTGGTTCTGCCGGAGGTTTCTTCCTGTTAAAAGGGAGTTTTTCCTTCCCACTGTCGCCAAAGCGCTGCTCATAGGGGGTCATATGATTGTTGGGCTTTCTTTATCTCTATCTACTGTTGTGACATATAAATAAAATTGAATTGAATTAATGTTTGACGCCTCGTGTGAGGCTGCTGTGCTCTCTGAAACTGACGGGCAGCTTCCCAAAGATTCCCGCTCTAGGATCAGGCCGGCGATGACTCCGTGTTTGTGCTGTTCCTTCAGTCTGCAGCTTAAGTTCACATTAGCTCCAGAAGCATGCTGTGTGTTTGCCCTGTGTAACTGAAACCTGCTGTTGTGCTTCAGGCCTTCCTCCCTCGTCCATGCTCAGCTACCAACAGCAGCAGCACTTGCTGCGCAGAGGCACCGCCCCCATGGGCCAGGTCAGTGTTTTTCCCTTCATGTGCAGTATCAGACTTTGCAGCGTGGCAAAATGTTTTTGAGAAAATGAAATTGAATCATGCACCAAAAATCTCCGAACAGGTGGATTTAAGATTTCCTGTCCTGTGTTTAGTCTGATCACTGCAGCAGAATCGGTTTAAGCCTGATGTGCATGTTTGTTTCTTGAATCTGTCTCTCATAGATGAGCTCTCACAGTATTTGGGAGAACAGCATGGGCTTTGGCCCCGTGAGCGTCGCCCCGGGATTGCTCACACACATGGAGGTTAAACTTTACTCTTCTTATTGGATAGCTAACCGTTCAGTTTAGGTGTTAATTCTAGGATCAAACATAAAGAAATGAACGACTAAATACATTAATGTAGTTATTGTTTGTATTTTTGCTCATATTTCTGTCTTCAGGATAATCCACTCATGTCGATAATCAAAGAGGTGGGCCATCCTAAACGAGCTCCTCAGGGCAGGAACGATGAGGATCTGTCAGAGAGGGCTCCTCCTCCACGCTCTTCTTCCCCTGTGATTGGCTCCCCTCCGGTGAGGGCGGTGCCAATCGGGACTCCACCCAAACAGCCGATGAGCCACGCGCTGAATCACCAGGTCAGAAACAGGAAGTCTTCCTGCTGGGTGTCCCTCCCTGCTGTGAACACGTGTTTCTGTCGCAGGATTTAAACGTTGCCGTGGCGCCGAGATGTGCTTTTAAGGTTACGAAGCAGCACGGCAGGCGTCCGGCTGCGTGTAATGGCTCCGTCTCTGTTAACCCCGCCCTCTGTCTGTGTGTGTTTGTGTAGATCCACCATCCCACTGCGGTCCACGTGAGAGCCCCGGTCCAGCACAGATACCCCGCTCCTTTCCCCGAGCGTCTGTCTCCCAACACCCTCCTCAACATTGCTGTGAGTGTTTCCTCTCCACCCGCTGCCCCGTCTGCGTTAGTCAGCAGACTCCTGCGCTCAGGACGGTGCGCTGCAGCGTGTTTACAGGCCAAATAGAAAAGACATCACAGGTTTATTTTTGACAGGAATCATACTGGTGAGGATTTTATATCATGTGGTTTTCATTTACGCACCATGGAACAATAAAAGTGCTAATATCACTGTTTGCTGTATTTGTTGATGAGCTAGCAGCTGCTTGTGTG